GTACAGGGAAGGAAGTGTAGAGGCATTGAGGGTGGCATCATTAAATATCAGTTGGTAAATGCAAGCACGATTGAAAGAACTGTACTGTCTGTCTTAGTCCCTACATGTTTTATTGTGTCGTGTTTTTTAAGTTCAAAATGAATGTTTTACTGAACCATGCTTCACAACCTGTACATTTTCGATCGATGAGAGGACGAACTTGCGAGATATTGCGCGCAAGCCGCCACGGCCGCCTCTGCATGACGCTGTCAGTACCAACGTACAGAACCGGAACGTGCAAAGGTTTGGTCGCGGAGCTGACGGAGCCTGATGGAGCCAGTGTCACTCTTACCGCTCATTCACACTGGAAGCGGATCCACAATCGCAAAGCGGTTCCGAACGCAGTTGAATGAAGAACCAGTGCAATTGCACGCGCACTCGATGACATCGAGAGCGCGCGCAATTGTACTGGATATTTATACAACCGCGTTCGCAACCACTTTGCGAACGCGGATCCGCTTCCAGTGTGAATGAGCGGTTCATGCTCAGCCAGCCACTCGAAGCGCTAGCGTCGACTGTAAGGTTCGACATAGAATTATTTTTATTTTATTCTTGGCTCGGCCGCAGGACGCGAGTTCCGCGACTGATACGAAGCTTCTATACTGACGTTGGGTCGCTCCTTTAACTTGACAGCCAACGGAAGCTCCGGCAGCCGCGAGTTAGGACGTCGTGACGACGGCTGAGCTAGCCAGTATTGAGATACAAACGCATAGAGATAGTATCTTAGAGTTACTTTCGAGTACTATATTTATCTCTGCATCGAGATACATTTAAACAATGTATTTGTATCTCAGTAGTGAAATACATCTACAATGTATTGCTTGTAGCGCGATACTTTGCCAACCTTAGTTATCTCGTTACATATGTTGCCGTTTTTACGATAAATATAAAAGACAAAAAACAACTGTTTGGTGAAAGGCACTTCGAAATTTAGATAAACCCGCCCTATAACATATGCGAAGTATAGTTAATAAAGCAGAATGGTTTGAACTCGTTCTTCTCAATTGTGACCACCATGTCACTGTGATCACTGAAACGTGGCTTAATGACTCTGTGTCTGATGCTGAAATCTTTCCGGAATCCGATCAAGCGTTTCGCAGGGACCGTCCCTCTCGTGGCGGTGGTGTATCGGTTGTAATAAAGCCGTCTATTTCTGCTATAGTATTAGATCAAATTAGTGATCACGGAAGTCTAATACTTCGTCTTTATGTTTGGGGCCATAAAATTATACTTTGCGCCGTATATAGATCCCCTTCCGCTAGTCCAGACTACTTAAATCGGCTATACGGTGACCTGTTAAAATACAGAGGCAAGCAAATTATTCTGGTTGGCGATTTTAATCTCCCCCATATTGACTTGACTGGCTGCGATTATCTAGCTCTCCCGGTGATGACATCGTGTTCGACATGATGCTCGCATGTGATCCAACCCAAGTCGTTCAAGATTTTACACGGGAAAGTGTTTCCAGTCGCTCAATTTTTGACCTTATCTTTGTCAGTCGCGCTTTTGTTGATTATACTGTAGATCTCGAGGAGAGTGACTCGGATCACAAGTTAGTGCTTTTTTACTGTCATCTGAACCGCCACTCGCAAAGGAAAAGGGTACTTCAACTGTGAAGGATTTTTCAAGGTCCAATGATGAGAGTGTATTGGATTATCTTGATTTTTGTTTCAGCGACTTTATTGAAGACAATGTGACTTTGCTGTGGGAAAAGTTCGTTTATATGTGTAACTACTGTTTAGAAAGCTTCATACCGGATCGGCGTAAATGCACGGGACGTAGAAAGCCTCGGATAAACCGCGAAATAATTCACCTTTTCCGCCGGATCAAAAGGTTTAAAAGAGCTCGTAAAACTGGAAACGAACAAGGTTTACAGGATGAAATGACAAGGCAGGGTCAAGGAAGCTAGAAATAAATATTTTTCGTGCACTCTTCTTAACTTCTTAAAACATGATCCTGCAAAATTTTGGAATTATCTTTCAGAAAGTACAAAGCCTGTTGACCAGGTAAAGGTCAACGACGTGGCTATCACTGATAAAAAAATAAATTGCTGAAGAGTTCAATTTATACTTCCAATCTGTGTTTTCTGATTTAGATACGTACACCCCCGCTGCTACTAATACCCCACTGAACCCCGATTTTATCTCGTTTCGCGGTGTGTTTATTATGTTACTAAACTTGAAAACTTAGTCGAGTTGTGGGCCTGATAAAATTCCAAACGCCTTCCTGCGTAGATATGCAGAATCAATTGCACGTTTTCTTACTGTCAATTTTCGCTTCTTTTAGTTCTTGTGTGCTGCCTAATGACTGGCGAACCGCACGTGTCGTTCCCAGTCATTAAAGGGTGATCGTTCAGAAGTAAGTAATTATCGCCTTGTTTCGATTACGAGTACTTCGTGCAAACTTATTGAGCATAGTGTGAGTAATTATGTTCGAGATTTCTTAGAAGAATGAAGCTTGCTTACATCGTTTCAGCACGGGTTCCGAAGGGGTCTATCTACCATTACGCAACCTGTCACCACAGTTCATGACTTTGATGCTACTTTAGACAAATTTGGTCAGGTCGATATTATTTTTTATTTTTTACTTGAGCAAGGCCTTTGATGAAGTTCCACACGGCAAACTACTTTATAAATTAGAGTGTTTTGGAATACCGTCTGAGATAGTCAATTGGATAGGTTCGTACACGTCTGATCGCAACCAATTTGTCGACATTGGCGGTCATGCTTCCGGTATTCTGGGTGTTTCCTCGGGTGTTTCTCAGGGCAGTGTGCTTGGCCTGTTGTTGTTTTTGGAAACGATATCGTCTCAGTTGTTAGCCCAGATGTAAATATTCGTTTATTCACCGATGATTGTATTTTGTTCAAAAGGATATCCACAGTTGCCGACCAAAGATCACTGAATTATTCCATTCCCTCTATCTGCAATTGGTGCCGCGCATGGGAAATGCTGCTAAATTTTACAAAAAACAGTTCATTTACGTATAACAAGAAAAGTGAAGCCACTGAAGTTCACTAATCAATTAAACAATGATGTAATATCTGATGTGACTGAATACAAATATCTCGGCGTAACCATATCCCACGATCTCCGTTGGTCAGAACACAATCAAAACATCTGTTACTCCGCTTGTAATAAATTTGAATTGTTACGTCGAAAACTTAGAAGCGCTGCCCCTTCCGTTAAATTACAAACATATAACTCCTTGGTCCGACCGAAGTTAGAATATGCTGGCATAGTATAAGACCCGAATACCAAAAAGGACGCGTCACAGCTTGAGATGGTTAAGAGGAGAGTTATTCGCTTCGTCTATGGAAACTATAATCGGCTAGATTCCCCATCTTCATTAATGATAGCAAACAATATATCATCACTCAAGCATCGTCCGAAAATTCTGAGACTAAGATTTTTGTCCTTGCTTTGTCATAACAGACTCCGCATTGAATAAAGTCTATATTTATCCCCATCATCATCTAGGGAAACTAGGCACAACCATCAGTATTCCCTGGTACCAATATTCGCTCGAACTAATATTTTTTAAGTATACCATCTTCCCACGCACTGTTGCGGATTAGAACGCCCTCCCTCGTGACATTTTTTTTTTTTTTGCGCCCGACTTCAATGGTGTTTTTGAGAATCACACCTTTTGATTGTTCTCCTTTCCTGGTGTTTGTACATGCATTTTTTTTATTGTATATTAGGTGTTGATTATGGAATGTTTATTATGCTGAGGGCGTTCATATGTATATATGTCGCTGTATAAGCAATATATGTGGTTGCCATGTGTTTCTTGTTTTTCATATGTATAGCTTTGTTGTTTGTATGTACCCCACACCTGCAGTGGCCTGTTCAAGGCCTTCAATACGTCTAAATAAATAAAAAAAAAATAATTCATCACAGTCACCAACATAAAAAAAAAACTACTGTGGTTTAAAGAAGGTCACCTGCAATAATAAATCATTAAGCTCTCCTCACAAAGCCCTCCATTCTTTCCAGTTTAGCCGAGCGAACGCCATAAAGAAGTTGAGTGAAGAAAAGGTAGGGTTCTGTCATCAAATTTCCTAATATTATGGGTAAATCAGAAAAATATCAGACGACAGTTTGAGATGCATTTAAACGGAAAAACAAGAAAAGCGGGGTTTATTTTGTGCAGACGCCTTTTGTCAAGCATGGCACGCAGTGGTAACTGTTCTGTAACTAGGTGGTTCACGGGGAGTGACATGTTTTATTTATTTTTTAGCGGCTATAATGATAACTAAAAAGTTCGAGGTTACGAGTAGTGCATACATTGAGACAGAAAGAGAAGCACAAACATAAATTACCATTCACATTCGCCACGAACTACACCTTTCCCACGTAGCACCGTTCGGTAACAAATGTATCTCTATAAGTATCGGTATCTCTAATCCGGAATACTTTTTTCTGATGTTTTTGCAGATGTATCTCGGCATAGAAGACAAATGTATTTCAGTATTTGTATTTTGGGCCTTAAAATACATGTATCTTAGTATCTGGATTTCCGAATACTTTATGTAGCGTGTCTGCCCAGCCCTGGATGACGGCGACACTCGCGTTTCCTCGTGCTTTTTGCCGAAACTTCTACGGGCAACCATTAGCACCGCAACATCTGGCAGCATGACAGTCCGATTTTTCTGACGCCATTTCTTTCCTCTTCGGGACGCCTTTCGATGCCTGGGCGAATTGGGACACTGAACACGCTTGTCGTAGACGCATTTCGGGCAACGTAGTTATAGACATTGACAGTATAAACAAATTAATTATCCTCGTTTATTTTCCTTTTTCTGATTAGTGACATTTCATACGTTCCTATCGGTTAATGGCGCAATCCAATTGTCTGCGGAGGTTTAATGAAATGCAATAGACTCGCAATGATCCCCTTTCTTAAATTGCCGGCGATTATAGGCTGTAGTGTCCCGCTTTAGGCAGTGAATCCGACTCACCCGAGAAGAGTGACGCCACGGCGGCGATGATGAAGGAGAGGATGACCCCCGGGCCAGCCGTGTTCCTGGCCACCATGCCGGCCACGAGGTACATTCCCGTGCCCACGCAGCTCCCCACTCCCAGCGAGGTCAGGTCCAGCGTCGTTAGGCAGCGCTGCAATTGCCGCGAAAAAGTAAAGAAAAACTAAATACAATCCTCTTATACGCGCTTCTAGAGATATCTTCGAGCGAAGCCTTGTCGCTGATCTTGCAACTGGCGGTTTTAGACGCACGAGCGTGTATGCTACAACTAATCTGAATAAAAACTCCTGTACAACTTTAGCCCGTCGTCATGAAAAGCAATATTGAATGTAACATTTAAAAAAATGCACTGTGAGCTTTTCTTTTAATTTTTAATTATTTAGGACTCGAGATATCGAAACTAAGACGCACAACAGCTCCAAAACTTTTACCCCGAATTGTCATCAATAGCCACTGTGGGAGCGGTGTAGCTAGTAATTGCGACATCGCCAACTATAACGTGACTTCTCCATAGTCGCTAACAGCTCACGTAACGGACGAGTGCCTTGAGTATCTTATTATCACTCCTCAGCGAATGAAGTCGCGGCATTGGACGATAAACATGGCGAAGAACCAATGACGAAGCAGGAAGCCAGAAGGTAGTGTGCCACACTTTGCTTTTCTTTAAGCTGTCAGTCACTCTCGGTCATCAGGAGGAAAAACAAAAGAGAAAATGTCACTTTGACCGTGACAGGCGTCAAATACAAAGCTTACCGAGATTATTTCTTTTCTTTTTCGGTTTCGGTTTGGGGGGTTTTCAAGTACACCTAAAATTGGCCACTAAATAGCGTTATCATAACTATATCTGGAACATAAAAAACTACTATCGCATATATAATGATTTGTAACAAATCTCTGACTGAAACTTGCACGAAAACACGAATAATTAAAAAAATGAAAGTTAGGTAATCAGCTTGTCAACAACTGCATCACATCTATGCCCGCACGTCTGCTGCAATTGATAATGTTATACCGAAAAAAGGTACTTTTTACCTTAACAACCAATTTTATTTTCTTAGTTATAATAAAAACAAACGTCCAGTATAGAGAAGGACATCGATACGTTCCCCCGGGATTGAGCAATACCTTGCCGTAGGCAGGAGAGAAAACATTTGATATTGGCCATCAATAACAAAGGACCTACGGAACAAGAGACGCCCAGTTCCCCGTTTCTCCTACATTCGTTCTTTGTTTTTGGAGGGTTCAGTATTGATTTAAGATGATTCTCGGAATTTCCCACAACGTGAGTCAACCAGACTATTGGGATCAATATACGCCTCAAACTGGGTGGAGGCAGTAGCCCTCTTGTACAGCCCTTTGTCCGTGGCTATTCCACGAAATCAAATTTTATCGTAATCCATTAAAAAACATTATCGGCTTTCTTTCATCGCAAAAAGAAACTACGCATCGCCGAGCGCTCATTCTCCGCCCAAATGTGGCGCTACCGGTCTGAACCGATGCCAGTGTTTTAGAACTAACCGCTATCTTATTCAGAAGTCACGAGGAAGTTTTTCAATGAAAAAAAAAAAAAAACTGTGCCCGAAAGTGCTTTCGAATACATGGAGTTGAATGGCGACACTTACCGTAAAAGGGCGGAACTCCCTTTTCCCGCTTTTTCCGTTAAAAGGTTTCAAAACTATTACGAATAACTTTTGAATGAGATAAAAGTTAGTTATCCGGTTCGGACCGCTTGTGCGAAGTTGTGGGCCCAGAATAACCGTTCGGCAAGGAGTATCGCTTACTTCTGCGACGGAAAATCCCCCTTAAATGTTTTTAGGGAAGCCCAGTACTACTCAAATGCCAATAAAAAAAAATAATATCGGGTCAGTAACAAGTGTGCTATTCAGCTTCCCTTCGTCACGCTCATGACGCTGGAATGCGTTAATGCAAGTCGTTTATGTTTAGGGGTGGTGATAACAAACTCTAATCCGGGAAAATTAAAAAAAAAATTGTGTCGCAAATTGCAGGGAAATTGTGTTCCACGTAAAACATTCCGGTATCGCTCCGGTACGTTACCAAGCCCGGCCTTTACGCTCACGGCGCTTTTCACCGAATAACTTAAGTAACCCGTGGCATATAAACTTGATAGCGATTCCTGGTGTGAAGGTAGTGGCTTTAGTCGGATTTTTAAAGCCTGGCGGTTTTCCAAAACCCAATCATCGTTGATCACGTGACGTTTCCACCAGCCAATCAGCGTCGAGCTGATTAGCTGATTCGTGCTTAATTCGTCGAATGATCACCTCTACTGACATCTGCTCGTTCAACTAAATTTCATCTATTATTAAACTTAAGATTACATTGAACTTAACGCAGCCTTTTATTTGCAGCTGTCGGAGATTCTTGATAGCAGTAAGCCATATCTAGCGGCACTAAGATTAGAGTAGACTGTGTCCCCGAAAACAAATAGGATATTTTTGTTTTTCAGTCTCTAAAAAAAGAAAAGAAAAAAAGAAGAATCTACTTATCGCCAGACACTCAGCCGTTGCCCAAACGTAACGTTAGCGGTCCGGACGAAGTGCCAAATTTTAAGAGCTTGCCGTTACGCCGTTTCGAATGTTATACGCGGTTTTCGAAAATGTTTAATGGTCAAATAGCAGCCGACGAAGCCTACAAATAAATAAAGATGAATGGCGCCCATCGCCAGAAACAGTGTCCATTTTCATATTTAAACGTTCTGAAATTCTTTTACAACTTTTGAATAAGAGAACGGTAAATTCTGAAGCTTTGCCATCTGGTTCGGTGCCCCATCGCTTTATTTAAAAGGACACTGGGCCAAGTGTAGTTTAGTTTTGGAGTAAAAAAAAAAAAAAGTGTGTTCTTATTATTATTTTTTTTTTGCGGGGGGATTTCCAATGGCTGAACGTAAAAAAAAAAGAGAAGAAAAGATCACGTCAACAAGGTGACAATATGTCTTGTCGTGGCAAGGTTTCTCTTTATTCCGTTTGAATCGACACCAATTTATTTCCTGTTGTTTTAAAGATCAAGGCGCAGACCTCTTTTGCGGTGAACCCTTTTTAAGAGCCAGATCTCAAACATTTTTTTTTTAACTTTTCATACTGTACTACATGTCCACAATATATTATAACCAAGACATCTGCTCGCACAATTACCGCTTGGTACATTATATAAAATTCATTTTTGAAAAGACTAAACGTAAGACCGCAGAATTAAGAAAAAAAAAAAATCAGCCTGCAGCCAAGTAAAATTTTGTTGGTTTTCCCCCTGTTACTGGCGCAGCTGTTCCAAACCTAGTTTTACATTTTCATTTTGCTTTGCTTTAAAATTTTAGCAGATAATACAAATCTAGGTTAAAGTTCACAGTTTGCAATTTTTTTTAACTACAAAGGGCAGCTGTAGATCTCAGGAACGTTTCCAAAACTTACTACTTGCATGTTTCGCTGCCTTGTGTATAAAGCTCTAATAATATAATTTTCTTCGATCACTTTATTCAGAGAAAAGCGCGGTGGGTACCACGCTTTAATGGGAATGAAGTCTCCGTGGCAAGGTGGAATCCGCCAATTTCGCCATTGAGAATACTTCACCATTAAAAAACGACAACTCTCAGCCGCCTTTGTTCCTTACAGTCCCCCCCCCCCCCCCCCCACACTTCTCCCTAAATCTACTACTAATTAATGCAACTTATTATTTGCTTATTTGGCGATACACGAATGGTTCAACTTCTCTCTCTCTCTCTTTTTTACATAAAAACGCTACCAAGCTGCCAAAGTTCGAGGGGAGAATGACGTCCAGAAAAGAGAGTTGCGCCACCTCTCCCACCCCCTTCACGACTCATTTTAGTCGATGAGGATGCAGAAAAGGTAGCGTAGTTCCCGTTCCGGACGCCAACCATACTTCGAGCTTTCGCCGCTACGTGAAGAGGGCCCCAGAGTGCGCAGAGCCTTTCTTCAAAAAGGTCCATTGTCGGACGTAATTATAAAACAAAAAAACCGCTTAAACAAGCAAAAAAACCAAACAAGGACGGTCCTCATCAAACTTAAGAAGCCAGCTAAAAAAAAGCAATGTAAGACAGTTTTTTTTTAAAAGAATTTTCGAGCTTCTACTCTCCCACAAAGCACTTGGGAAGGGCAATTGCTGCGATTTACGGAAGGAACTCACCCTCCGTAAATCGCTGCAATTTTCTCTCCCAAGTGCTTTGTGGGAAACGAGAAACTATAGATTTTGTAGAGCGTTGAGACGAGTGACAAAGGCTAGGGCCTACATTTTCTACCCTTGTAAAAATGCGTTTAAAAAATTAAACGGGCTTAGTCACTCTGTCGAATACTGGGAAGCACAAAGTGAGTTGAACTACCACTTCGCAGATATTGACGTCACGTGACTTTAAACATGGCCGGACTGGTTTCGCGTGCTTCCCTTATCGAGAAATGTCTTTTGGCTAGGTGTTCGGCATTTCTTGAAGCACAAAAGTGAAGTCTGGATAAAAGCGCCACCGCCAGGCTCGACACCACGCAGTTTGCGCAAGGTGGGAATCGAACCCAGACCATTTCGTTTAATAAGCGAGTGTGTTTCCGAAATGTCAAGACACATTTCTTTTTCTTTATTGCGACACAAATAACATTTCACGTCAAGACACATCGCCGTGAGTCCATGTGTTATTTAGCGGGAAATCCCTGCGGGGCATTCGCTCTTCACCGTGCAGATAACAACTTGACACCCTGTCACACGTTTTTAAAACCCAGGTTAACGCCGGAATCGCCGCTCCAGGAATTGCTATCGAGTGCGCTGCATACCGGGCGTTATGCCAGTCGCTAAACTAAACGACGAAGAGCGCCGAGAACGTAGACGTCACACGTTTTACGTAAAACACAATTGCCCAGCAATTTACTTTTTTTTTTTTGTAAGTCCCTTTGTGCTTTAGGAGAGAGCATAGCCATTATTTTGCGTGGGGGCGCTGCGGCTCCCTATTCTGGGTTTTTTACTCTGCTGCTCAATGGCTTCTGTTTCGTGTACCACAATGGTTAATTGTTGTTTGTCCGCATTGCAAATGGACATCGGAGAAGAGTTCAGGCTTGTTTTTGCACCAGCTGTTCAGAGATGAGACGTTGAGTACAGGGTGTCACAAAAGAAAATTTACACGGTCTTTTTTACCGCAAAAATAAACTAGGCGTCGCCGAACACTCATTCTCCGCCAGAAGGTAGAGCTAGAGGTCACAACCAGATGCTAAAGTTTCAGTCCGATCCGATAACTTAATCAAAAGTTATAAGTGATTTTCTGAAAAGTTCAATGGGAAAATGGCGGCCGACGGAGTTTTCAAACACATGGGGCTCTATGGAACCAGAAACCGAAAACAGGAAAAAATGGGCCCCATTTTCCCATTGAAATTTTCAGAGAATCACTTATAACTTTTGATTAAGTTATCGAATCGGGTTGAAACTTTGGCATCTGGTTGTGACCTCTAGCTCTACCTTCGGGCAGAGAATGAGCGTTCGGCGATGCCTAGTTTATTTTTGCGGTAAAAAAGACAGTACAAATTTTCTTTTGTGACACCCTGTACAGCGTGGAAGAAGAAGATACCAGGAGAGAACCTCGTTGTGAACGATAAACCTCCATCTAGGGTTGTCCGCAACAGGCACTTAAAACCAGAGCACTATCTGTCGAAACTCCGCATAAAGAACCTAGCCCCTGGAGCCGTACACACGGTGTTTGATGGGTTTTCGAAAAACCTTGCGCCTGCACCCAAGCAGGACCTAGAAGAAGCCGTTTTCAAGCAGCGGCCATCTGCGCCGAAAAGCGGGAAGCGGAAGGCAGATGGCCGCTGGCTTCACAAAAGGATTGTGAACTGACCGAGGAAGATGAACCAAACAGTGACTTTAAACCTAAAGGCTCTCAAGCACCCCGTAAAGATGTGCTCGAACCATTAATGCGGTAGTGGCGCATATCAACCATAGTGGCTGTAACGCCTCGTGCTTGAGATAACATGGCGAGGTCACGTCACATCAATTTTACCTCTAAATTTAGTGTGGAAATTGACCTGGCGGCTCTTCGAGGCGATTCTTCGTGACGGTTCTACCTGAAGGTTTTTTCGTGGCAGTCATCTCATAGCATTCGGGTAATAAAACATATTTTGCGTTAAAAAAGATGTTTATATCAAACAACAAAAAGAGTATTTCTTTAGTGCTGAAGGATTACGATTTTTCCCCCCTCTTTAGTTTCTGGTTTGCCACGCTTTCCATAGCCCAATTAAAATAACACGCTCGTTAGGCAAAAAACCTCTCGGCAGAATGGAGGCAAATTTCAAGGAGCATGGAGGAATAGAAAAAAAAAAAAAAAAAGAAAGCGAGCTGGGTAATTAATAGTGGAACGATTAGAGGCAAAAATTACTCCAGACAGCGCCTGGACCGTGACAGGGGGTCGTTAAGGGAGGCGCCTAATTGACGGGGGAAGATGGCGGCGCACTGTTCACTAAAGCGATGCATCAGGGATAGAATAAATTTGACCCGAAGAAATGAACGGCGCAGGTACTGGATGGCGTAAATATAAAATGACCGCAAAACACCATGAACGCCAACGCGATTGCGATGGTGAGCAGAATTTGAGTGTCGGCAGAAGCTGATAAGTTATTTATTTGCTTTATTTTGAGTTTGGCAAAAACAGCTCTAGGTTCTTTTTGGTGGTGGACTGAAAAAAAATATTCCATCTGATCTACAAAACAAATGTCTACACATCAGGATGAGAGAAAAACATCAATGCGCTCTCGAAATTTTTCTGCGGGTCCAAAAATGTCAACATCAAGATAAGCTGAGCTAGATGCAAACGTGTTGAAAACCAGTTCCGAACGAGCAACACGATTAGTTTTTAACAAAGGGAAAGCATACATAAGAAGTGGACACGGCTTACCCTATAAGAAACTAGGAAACATACGTAGTTCAGTAGAGCCGGTGAGACAAGAACACCATTTACAATCTTGTACCAAAATATAAACTATACCGAGCTATCCGTCTAGTTACTAGTACACGAAGATATTAAGCCAATCAGGTTACAAATTCTAGTTTAGTCATAAAATACACTGGGTTGTAAATAACGATCATAACGAAATGTTTACCTTGAGCTGTGTCTTTGAATCTGCCACATCCGAAGCGGGGTCCTTGGTGCGGACCAGTCTGGCCACGAGGGTCAGAAAGCTGGGCTTGTTGAACGTGAACATGGTTGAGTTGTCTGGAAAAGAAAATTGCAACGACTCTTATCTCCTAAGTTCTGTGACTCACGAAATGTTCTATCTCAGGGGGCGATCGTTTACATCTGTTTCGGAACACATTAAACGGTCGTTTCGGCGAGTCAAGAAGAACCGCGTACTATTTCCTCGCTACGTTTAGCGAGGAAGCTGACTTGGTGCATAGTTCGTGTGACGTGAAGTCACGTGACTTGACGGCACGTGACCTGACGGGGAAATTGAATTGGTATATTGAATGGGGTACTTTAGGCGTAACCGAAAGGAGTAACGAAGTACGTTACTCGTTATTTGAAAATAAAAGGAACGCGGTGCCGACCTAGCTACGTTACCTGAAAATAAAAGAAACGCGCAACTGTTACCTTAAAAACGTAACACAAGTTACGTTTTTAATTATTGATTCGCACGTTTTACTCTTTTAAAGTTACAAATACGCATAAGCCCCATGTTAAAAAAAAGAATTACGTCCGTCCAAAAACGAAACATAATTCCCGTGTCTTTTTTTACGGTTTTACCTAATTACTCACAGAAAAAAAGAAAAAAAAAAGAAAAAGAAGAACGCAAGAACTCTAAACTTTATATGGGTTGGCGTCTAGGAACTCAAACAGAAATAAGTGAAGTCTTGGGAAGGATGTGTAACGAGTAAGTTAACTACGTTACACGTCACTCGAAATAAGTAACGTAAGCACGTTACCCGTTACCGTTTTGAAGATGTAACGTGCACGTTGTACCGTTACCGGAAAGAGTAAAGCGTTACCCCTAACGCCGTTACTTGTAAGGCGTTAGCGTCAACACTGGTATACAGGTCAGGTGACGTCAGTTTTTACGAGTGTGGAAACTGAATTGGTATGCGAGACTCGTGACGTCAGGCCACGTGAGATAGATTTTCCCGCTAAACTAAAGCGGGGAAACCGAACTGGTGTTTAGGTAACGTGACGTAGATTTCTCCGTTAAACTTTTCGCGGGAAATGGTCGGACGGACGGACAGACAACGGGTAGAAGGACTCACGGACAAGATTTTAGAATTACGGGGTTCCGTCAAAAAGAATTTCATAGTTTTGAAACAGAAGCGGCGTATGCTGCCAAAATAAATCAAACGAAAAAAGAAAAAAGGACCACAGGGACAAGAAGACAGACAAACACAGCGCTGACAATCAACTGTCGCACAGCTACACACATTGCTAGAGCATATTTCACATGCAAGCGTCATTGAAAATCAACAATTTTGTTCTAAATCTCTTGACTCAATCGGTCCGTTCACGTGAACAGATACACAAGATTCGCGGTCACTCACGCTTGACTTAAACGCGCGTTTTATGAACTGTAGAGGGTTGTAATGGCAATCAGTTAAGTTTCCTTTACCAACTAAACGATCCTTCGGACGATCACGTCTGTTGGTTTTATTTAAAAAGAAAGAACCCAAAATGGTAAGAAAAAAGTATTTGGAAGGGAACTTGCGGACATTAACACGTTCACCTCTCGGTTCTTAGCAAACAAACCTCGGCGCCTCGGGACACCTCGCCAGTGAGTCCTTTCACTTCCCTCCTTAATGCGCGTCTGCTAGTAGTTAGACAAAAAAGTGAAAGCCGTTTACAACTCCCTGTAACACCGAATTAGAGCGCAGCTCTTGAGGAGGAGGAGGGAAGGGTACTGGGGGGGTGAAGTGACCTGGGGGGGGGGGGCGGTCACGTGACGATGCCGATCATGTCATCAGTGACGTCACTGATGACGTCATCCGTGATGATGACGATGACGATGCGGATGCCGGTGACGTCATCAGTGACGTCACTGATGACGTCATCAGTGATGATGTTGATGACGATGCGGATGCCGGTGAGGTCATCAGTGACGTCACTGATGACGTCATAAATGACGATGACGATGCGGGTTCCGATGACGTCATCAGCGATGATGACGATGACGATGCGGATGTCGGTGACGTCACTGATGACGTAATTCGTGATGATGACGATGCGGATGCCGGTGAGGTCATCAGTGACGTCACTGTTGACGTCATCCGTGATGATGACGATGACGATGCGGATGCCGGTGACGTCATCAGTGACGATGACGTCATCGAGGAGGCCACGTGACCTTGGCGGGGGGGTCACGTGACCCTGGGGGGTGGTCACGTGACCTCGGGGGGGGGGGGGGGTCACGTGACCTCGGGGGGTCACGTGACTTTGGGTGTCACGTGACCTTGGGGGTCACGTGACCCTGGGGGAGGGGTCACGTGACCTTGAGGTGACCTTGGGGGCCACGTGACCTTGGGATGACCTTGGGGGTCGCGTGACCTTGGGATGACCTTGGTTACGCCGACGCCGACGGCGACGCCGACGCCGACGCCGCTCAAGCCGGGAACGGGCCCCTAAGAGCTGCGCTCTAAAAAAAGGCAATAGCTTTAGCAGCTGCATAGCTAAAACAACGTTGTTCTCACAGGCCGAAATAACTGAGCTCTTAGATTCTTAATACGACAGTGTTAATCCAATCTCTGGGCGAGCTAAAAATACCAGACACAAATTCTTGCAACAAATTGTGTTAAATTCATGTTAACCTTCCCGCATATTCCGCCCTAATTCTACTAAATGTCTGATCGAATATTGCGTCGTCGGTTGCTCCCAGGCACGTCACTCTTTTTGCTATTTTTTCTTTCCAGCGCTCCCAGGATGGGTTCACACAACAAAAACACAGACAATGAAGAAGACAATTTAAGAAATTCGCGGGAATCTGCGACGTAAAAGGGCATTACTTCAGGAAGCGTGAAAATGCCAATTTTTAAGAATCTTCTCTTTCGAAAATACCCAGAAATGTCCTAGAGGGCTTTGTTGTGCAGTCTGAAGCAAACGTTTCAGTTTCTCGTTATTATCCGAAAGACAAAAAAAAATTTCATCCTTGGCTGGAGTGGCTCAGTGTTAAGTTACTCGAAATTTTGTTTATGTAATACCTTAAAAGCAATATTACAAAACTTTTGAATCGCTGAATTTCGGCAACTAGCTTCGGCGTCCCGACGTGTGAACCCAAAAGTATCGGCATGTGATGTACAGAGCACAAATCGTCGTCTCCCTGCCGATCGGTTGGCTTGGTCGGCTACGTTAGGCTTAGACAACGACTGCTCTGTTCCTGTGGTCTGCTTCGTCTCTCCGCTATCACGACTGACTTTCGATACGATCGGCGTCCCCAAAGAAGTTTCGACGCGACCGGGCAGTCTACAGCATGACAAAAAGGAACCAATGCCTAATGAAAGCGGAACTTTTACGGCATTCTCAACCCTGTACAATTTTCAGCGTTCATGCGTACGGCGTTTGACACGTTCACTTTCCGAAGCCGCGCTATCATGACTCGCTCTTGACGACGCTCCCGACGGATTGTCTAGACCGTTCGCCGCACGCCGACTTCCTACTGGCCGAACAAATGTTGGGTTCAGATTCTCACCTGTTCGACACCGATTTGGAGCCGCTATGTAAATATGGGACAAACAGCCGCGTGCCAAGGCTATTCCATGGAAACGTGCTTGTTTGTCCGATGTTTACATAGCCGCGGCCATTACCTGAGTCTTTCTGTTGGCTGAGAGAATGAGGGAACATTTCGCGGCCACGCCTACTTTCGGTACCCTTCGCTCCAGATATGAAGAATACGAACGCCAACTCCTGCCCACTATAGCCTCCGTGGGTATCATTGACGGATGGATGGATTAATGTGTAACCCCATAGCCTCATTGATTCTAGAAAGCCAGTCAATTCTACGACAGGGCCATTGGGCGCGCGGCCGCCGGAAAAAGGCAAGGAACTGCACTGCACGGCTACCCGTGTGGTAGCGCGGAGCCACTTCTGGGGTAACCCATCGCCCAGCGCCAACAATACTCGCGGTGGCCTCTCCGCGAAACAACAAACCACAACGTGGAAAAAGGAAAAGAGGCCAGCGGCGCCTGGAGAAACGGGTGGGGAGTGGAATAGAGAAGAATCAACGCAAAACGTTTCTTCTTGAAAAAAAAAAAAAAAAGGCATTCGTGTTTACGGATTACTGCTAGAGCATTGTTTGACGCTGCCAGAGGGAGCCCCTGCAGGCGTCCTGTTCTCTGATCTTCTTTCATCTTTACAACGGCCACGTTCTTTTAAGATTTGACAAGCTTTCTGTAATAAAAGAGACTATGGTTTGACCGATTCATTTTAATCAGGCTCATTTCATTTCATTTCATTTATTATACCTTAAGGGCCCCTGGGGGCATTACATAAGGGGGGTAACATAATACACAATATAACACTTCAAGGGTTGAAATCAAACGTAGGGACAAATAGGTTGAAAGAACATCTGTTATTTTACAATGCAATATCTTCATTATACAATCATATGCTTAGTAAGTTCTGATAAAAACAAGGCATGATCAGTGATTGTTACAATGGACTCAGGTAGCGCATTCCAATCCCGTATACACAAAAAAGGGGAGAGTTCTTAAAATGTTAGTTCTGGCAAAGGGCATTTCTATCTTCTGGCAATGATCACGGCGTAGGGCTTGTAGAGCCCTACGCCGTGATCACTGGCAATGATCACTGGCTGAAGAGAAGAATTCATGGTCAGTTCAGGGCTTGTAAAACAGGTTATGAAAAAAGGATAATCTATCTACGGTGCGTCTAGTATTAAGGAGTGGTAGTGATAAAGAAGCCTTAAGGGCAGAGATGCTCGTGGGTGAGTAGTCAGCAAGAATGAATCTAGTTGCGCGGTTTTGGATTGATTCTAACATGTCGGATAGGTAAGCCTGATGGGGGTTCCAAATGGTAGAAGCGTATTTCATCTTGGATGTAACAAGGGTGCAGTATGACAGCTGTTTGATTTTCTGTGAAGCTCGACTAAGATGGCGTCTTAGAAAACCTAAAGTTTTATTAGCACTGGAAGTTATGTGTTCAATATGAGTTCTCCATGAGAGGTCAGAGCTTAAGTGCACGCCAAGCTATTTAAAAGATGAAACCTTTTCAATGGGCTGGGATGTAAG